GTCCCGGCTGCAGACGTGACTGCGGCTCTGGTCATCCGTGCGTCCTGCTGGGAGACTGTCTTCATCCCGCTGGGACCCTGAATAAGACTTAAGTGGGTAAAAGACCATGACTGAGTGAATTCTTCATCTAGTTATTTTGCGATGGGGTCCTGGGCGACTCCTCTGAAACGAGCTCTGCCTCCACGTTCTGAATCAATTTCAGTTCATTTCAGTTCAATTTAATTTTCATTCGGCTCTGTTGTGATCGGTATCGATCAGGTTGTTGGCAGGTGTGTGCGTTTCACTTCAGAGAGCCGCCTGTCAGCTGATACAGTCAGACAGCTTCAGACCGACTCGCTGCAGTCGGGGAGGCCTGATGGGGGGCCGTGGGGTGAGGGGGGGAGAGGGGGGGCATGCATCGTACATATGCACACCTGCTGCATGCATACGCATAAATGAATGCATGGTGATGTGTGGAGCATGTGCATCCATATTTCTGAGAGAGCGTGTGACAGCTTTTCGCTTCACGGTCTCCTGGACGTGTGCATGCATTTGTTGGCTTCTGAGAGAATGTTGGCTCCTCAGAGTGTGCTTATACATATAGTTGTGTATCGTATGTGTGTGTAGGTGTGTGTGAGGTGACAGGGCTTCAGTCCATGGTCCAGTGCGCGGTGCTCCCAGCGCACTGCATGGCTTCCATCCCTATATGAACCATCAGTACAGTCAGATAGGAATAAAAAGCCATACAGTGCACTGGGCATTGGGAAGACTGGATTTTAAGAGCAAGGACACACACACACAGACACACACACACATTCACAGAGTCAGATGATAGAGTGAAAGAGATTCAAATAAAACCCCCCCGAGGCTGCCAGAACTGGAAAACAGGATAACAGCAGGTGAAGGACATGGACACCCAGAGAGGAGAAGCAGCTGGCAGAAGATGAGGCACAGTGCTGCACACTGCAGCATCACACTGGGACAAGGACTGATCAGGAGATAAATGGTGTGTAAGTCGGACTGGGGAGCACATGAAGCCTCATCAAGGATGTGTTGAGGTGTGGCAACAGGTCCACAAAAAACAGAACTGTGTTTTTTCTCCCCACGGCGTTGTCTCCAAGGCAGCTGGATTTCCAGCTGTGCAGCTCTTGGCAAGATTTTTCCTCAAAACACGAAGAATTCTGACCCTCAAACACAGACATGATGTAAATGGTGCACTAAAAAAGTCTCTTTTTGGACACGAGGATACTTTTCCTTCCCTATATGCATCCATCGGCTCTATCAGCATCATCTCCTCAACCATAAGTGCACCGGATTTGTTCCATTCAAGTTTTCCAAGGGCAAAAACTGTACATAGTGAAAACACAACATCACAAATGTAACCTGCAATCCACGTACCTGTTCCTGTTGGAAAAGAAAGAAAAAGAGAAAGAATGAAATTAAGACTCAGCCACGTGCCTTCGCGAGCAGAAGTACAGACAAAATATCTCAAAACGCTTTGGTGCACGTTCATTTTTGGTAAACTGAGATAAGTTTGCTTCTTGGAAACGTGCATCAGCAGCAAGTCCAATGGACCACTTTTAACAAATCCTGAAACTCTCCACACACACACTGCACATAAACTGATCTGCAGTGTGTGTGTGTGATGGGTATTTTCTTTTTTAAGTAAGTTACAAGATGGGACCAGATCGTGCTACAAAGGATATAAAAATGAAAACAAGACATTTCCTATTAGTGTAAATCCAACTTTAAGGATGAGATTTAAATCCTTGAAGTAATTCGCTGTGATCAGGGCCCACCGATGAGCGCTGGTGGCACCTGTTGTCCTCCTGTTGTCCTCTGGAGCTGCAAACAGATTAACAAGTGTTGTGGTCTCTCTCTTCTTCTTTTTTTTTCTAACAGCAGTTTAGAAGCCACTACTATGAGCAGCGTGCAGATCCCCTTCTGTTTCTTCAATCTTCCTAAAACAAATGACAGTTAAAAGAGATTAACGCTGATTACAGACTCACTAACAGACACATTTCTTGCAGTGCAGATTAGGTTGGACATGGTATTTTCTGTCTGCTCTCCGGAATTCTTGGGCCTCTAAAGCTCTAAAGCCAAGAATGAGAATTTGGCAAGAAGCTGCATCAAAATTAGAGTCACCCCCCCCCACCCCCACCACCACCCAGCCCCCCAAAAGAAAAAAAAAATCCATACAAGTCTAGAGTAGGTATGTTATTATTGTTTTCTAAAGAAATAAAGCCTGAGAAACCATTCCTGTCGCGCTTTAAGAGGCTTCACAACTTCAAGGAGCGGATATGAAATAAATCCAATTACCGAGCTGTCAATCAGGCCGCTAATTAGTGCGACTCCGGCAGACTAAGTGGCATCAAAGCTGGAAAAAAAAAAAAACCTCGAAAATAGAGGCGAC